GGAACAAATTCTAGTGAAACCAAATCTCCACCTAACAGGTCATTGGTCTGATCCTCTATTTCCTGACTAATGACATCATGGAATAGGCTGTCGTACAGGTGTACTTTCCCAGGCAAACATCCTATGTTACTAATACAGACCCAGTGATTACTGCCTGTATGAAGAATCTGGACAAATTCACCTGAAACAACGTCAAAGTTCCGTACACATCCAAGGGTTGGACGTTGTAGGCCCTCGAGTAGTGGGTTGATGTCTTGTATAAGCACTTGTGCTGCTTGTACAATGTCACCATTAAGCCAACCGGATGAATCATTAATTATATCATAGTCTGAATCTTGAAGCTTTGCTAGGGGACCATATTTGTCAACAGTGCCTGTAGTTTCCTTAGTGATCTCAATTTCATCATCACTGACGCTGCTTGAATCACTTAAAACACTCGAATCTGCTGAAACTGGGGATGAACGAGCAGCAAAAGAAGTAGAAGTAGTAGGTTTAGTCCCTAGATTAGGTTTTTGTTTTTTCTTGCAAACCTCGCACTGCCAAGTTGTCTTAGCATTGTTTGGCATCCTTTTCAGCCCCAAACAACTCAAATGAAAATAGTGTCCACTCCCGCAGCTTGTTCCGTGACACTCAAGTAATCTGTCAGTTGGGGTTGCACTGACATTACAAATACAAATGTTGCTACATTCCATGGCAGCCTGGTTGACTGCAGGTGGCTCTTTGCTTTTTTCTGTTTTTCTCCTTTGCTTGAACTGTGGCAATCTACTACAGTATGGGCAGTACCATGTCTTCAACAATGGCACCTCAACAAGTGACAGACATGTGGTGTGGAATTTACCATAAGGGCAGTCCACATTACTACATGAGATTACATGATCACTGGGCTGGCCTCTGCAAAAGCAAATGCCACTGTCACTGGGAACACTTGGAGGTGTATCACATCTCCTCGTGAACCACCTCCCTAAGATCTCAGGCAGAATGCACATTCTCCAAAAAGCTTCAAGTTTCTTTAAAACTGTTTCCAAGTGCAGCGTGTCGGGGTAAATTCTGTCTGTCATTAAGTGTGCATTTAAATGGGAGTCAATTCCACAGACAACAAAGTCACAATGCATTCTTTCCGGTAAGGTAAACAACTGCTGTTGAACCTGGAAGTAATAGTTGTGATTTCTTTTTAGCTTAAAGAGACCATTGACTTTTTCCAAACAAGAGCTCTTTTCTTCGACTTTTCAAAGTCACCATTTTGGATGCAAATGGGGCATTTAACTTCGCCATATCCCAACCCACAACAATCGCATGATGTTAAAAAGTCTGGTGTGGCGTGGAGGAAAGGGTACTTCTTATTAATAAACAACCCACACCGTGTGAGTTGAAAGTTAATGTGGGTGTTTTTCATGTGAGCTTCATATGCCCTCATAGCATAATCTTCATGTTTGCAGCCATGCTTGATTGCTTTGGTGTTAACTTTGTAAAGGTGTGGATAGCAAATGGACTTAATTAATGATTGTGAAGGTTGAGCAACATTACTGCGATACACTGCACCACTAACTGAGGCCCCAATTCGACCTGCTCGATGCCTAAAAAATCCTGAGCCCTTAGCTTGGTCACACATGTCCTGTTAAACTATGTTTATGTTTTCGTCTGACACGTTGATCTTGACTTCCTTGCACTTCTCCAGCAGTTCTGGATAATCAAGATCTAAGTTGCTGGGGTCATAAAGATCTGAAATAACAGGCACGTTTTGGCTTTTTGCTACAAACTGCTCGGCATACGGATCTATTAAGCTAAGAACTGAAGCCTTTGTCT